GTCAACAAATTTAGAACATTTTTTGGTTTTCTGTCCGATGGATTGTACCAGAATAGGGGAGGTAAAAAAGAGATGAGGCAAAGATTTAAAGAAAAGCTCAGCTCCTCCACAATCTCTGAAGCTTGTTTCAAATGTAACTATTCTTAACTTCGCAATGGATGAGCCCACAACATTTATTGTCTAATTTTGGCATTTAAGGGACCCTTTTTAAAGAAATTTTACCTAGCCACAACATTTTTTTAAAGAGGGAGAAAGGAAAAGAGGTTCTCTCCATTTGGAAACCATTCGTGTGTTCAAATTCCTTAGGATCTAGATTTCGGTATTGCCGACTCGATTTTGATTTCATGTACGGTATAACCCATATCAACAATACCGTAACTGTACACCTGACACATCAAAAATTAGGTTAATTTGCACCGTATGTAGGACATGTGGGTTTTATTTGTGTCGTGTAAGAAACCGTTAGTGGTAATTTCTATGCGTTACTGTACTCTCCCTCGTTATGAATCATAAAACGCATAACACCAATTACACAGTCTGTTACGCTACCAGCATTATATGTTACTGAATGTATTATAATGCAGATCACGTGAAAAGACAATTTATATGCACGGAAATATACACTCAATGAGACAAGGTCTCTAGACTTGATACATGTCACAGAAGACAGTGTTATATAATCAAGCATTGGCTGGGTTAAACCATAAACTTATGCTTTTTAAACGGGCATCTGATGTTGCCTTAACTCTTTAGGTTCATCTAGTATTTTAAATTCTTTCACTAGTCTGAGGTGCTATTGTACAGAATACTATTATTTTCGATGGCAGCCAGGTACCAACAGAGAGAGTTAGGAGAGAAAGAGATGCGGCGTAGATTGGAAGAAGAGTTCAGCACCTTAACAGTCTCAGAAGCTTATCACAAATGTTTAGTTATCGTCAACAAAGGGTGAGTCTGCATGATTAATTGGTCAATCCATGTAATCTAGCAGTTCATTTGCTCAGAATTCCGTTTTCCATTTGGACAACATTTTATCCGACAAGCATTTCAACTCAATTACCTTTTTTCAGAGTAGAAGAAAGCAGTAAAAGAGATTCACGCAACCTTGAAACCATTCGGGTGAACACTCTAAAACTTACAGAGCTTTCTTCACCAGTCCGAATAATGGATTTTGGGGGAGGTGCAGGAACTCCAATGTCAGCCATTTGTAAAACACTCCAAACTCTCAACAAGGATGTCATCGTCAGCGTGGAAGAACCTCATGAAATGTCCCTGCAAAAATACAAGAAATGCATTGCGAAATTGGAGAATGCTTCTCTGGATGTGGCCTACTCTGGACGGTTTCAGGATTACTTCGGGAAGTCCGTGGGAGATCTGAAGTCCATTGGCGCGTATCCTGAAGAACTACAGGACAGGGTACTTACTATACATTCTATCTATCATCTCACAAAGTGGTTTGATCATTCCGCTGATCCGTATGAAGACATCAGGCGAGCTGTCTTTGCCATGTATTCCATCCTCAAGCCTGGGGGAATGATATTAATAGAATTGGATAGTGGGGAAAAAGCTTTCATTTCGAAAACCTCTGTGCACTGTTTTACGATTTGTTTTCCTAATAAAGCCATAAATCTAACGAAGGTAGTGGAGGCTAGAAATTCTTTGTTACTTCAAGGGGAAATTGCGGATATTCTGAACAAATCATTTCCCACCTTTAAAGCTTTGATAAGGCACAGGGAGTTGAGGTGTGATTTCGTGCTTCCATCACTGGCAGAGGTTGGTGCCTTGGTCCTGTCCACCTATTTCCATGGTTGGGCAGATGACGCTTCCAAATTTGACCATAGTATGCTGTCATTTTGCATTGACTTCGTCCAGAGAAAAGGCAGGAAGTATGGCCTTTCCCAAGAAGAGGACGGAATGTGGCGGATGTCAAATGTTACACACTTTATCACTATTAAGAAAGCCAAAGCTGTTTAGGACTTTTCTTATCTTCAAAGAAAGAACTGTGAAAATAACAAAGTGTAAGGTTATTCTTATTCTTATTATTAATCAGGAAGTCATCGACACATTACATGGTGTACTGGTACTAGACACTTTAGATACATGTTTGGTTGTATCCGCTGTGATTAATTCTATAATTTTTCCCATGCTAATCATTACCAAAAGGACGACAAATGCTCAAAATTATTTTCAATTTGTTCTGTAGTTCTATTTTCTAAAAAGCATGATAGCACTATCATAATGGTACCCATGGTATTTCATATTGTTCAGAATTTTCTCAGAAACGTGGTAATTTAATGTGAAATAATCAAGTACACGTATTCTGGGGGAAAAGGGCAGCTGCAGTGTTCAAATTGATATAATTTACCAATGTTTTTAACGTTGTTATTTAGTTAATATGGCTGACTTTTTTGGGGTGGAGTAGAGTGGGCTTCTTATCCGCGACACCCCCCCTTCAAAAAATCCTCGACCTGCCCCTAAACTGTCTACTCAACGAAAACTGACACTTATAACAACACCGATGGCTTTGACAACCATATTGAGCAACAGTGTTTAAATAAACTCTTAGGCTTCGTTCACATGGAAAGTAAAAAAAATCTATTCGCGGTATCTCCACAGCAGCCGGACACACAGTAATTGTAAAGGCGCGGTTTTAGCTTGCTTGAGAATGATAACAATTGTGTTTAACAATAGAATGCGAGCTATAGAAAGACCCCCTTCCTCTTCAAGCGACGTCACAATTAACAGTATATATAATCTTATCTTGATCAATATATTATCTCCAGAAACCATGAATATAATTATTTGACGATGTAGTGAACAAAACAGTGTATCAGTGTAATTTGCTTTTCACTTTTCATGTAACCGGTCTTCAAAGCATGTAAACCGCTTTGATATTTACTTCTATCAATAAGAGATTAGTCACCAACATATTCCGTAGGTTTTTCATGTGTAGCGGAGTATGATAACAAACAGATTTTACTGTAGCTGAGCGGAGTGACTGATGAATGTGTCAGAAATGACTCAAGAATGACAGGCCAGTAACCAGCAATTTCAAAAGGGGAGGTGGGCTCTTTTTCCGAAAAACAATGGACCTTTTATCATGAAACCTTCGTGCCCCTAGATAAAAGTTTACCCAGAGGGGACCTTTTCCGGCAAAAAGGGGATTCTTTCCACACACCCTCCTCCGAGCCCCACTGGCTAGAGACCTGTCTAATGCTGCTTTTTGTTAAAACCCTTCACTTGCCAATTTCACATAGGAAACAACTCAGTGTATTTCAACAAAAGTTACAATATTTCGTTTTCTGTCCGATGAATTGTACCAGATTAGAGAAGAAGGTAAAAAAAAAAAAAAAAAAGAAAAAAAGAGATGAGGTTGGAAGAAAAGTTCAGCTCCTCCACAATTTCTGAAGCTTGTTCAAATGTAATTATCCTCCACAATGGGTGATCCCACAACATTTATTGTTTGATTTGGTCATATAATTGACCCCTTTAAAAGAAATTTAGCCACTAACATTTCTAAAAAGAGGGAGATATGAAAAGAGATATTTTTTCAATTTCGAAACCATTCGTGTGAACAGATACCCTAGGTTCTAAATTTCGGTATTGCCAGCTCGTTCTTGATTTTATGTATTACCCTCATCAGTAATACCGTATTTGTAAAGCTCACACGTGGAAAAGTATAATGAGCAAGCTAGGCTCAGGGTAGTGGACAGAATGAAGTTAAAAGGATAACAACTGTTCATTTTGGCAAAAAAAAAAAAAAAAAAAAATAATAATAATAATAAAATAAAATAAAAAAAAAATAAAAAAAAATAAATAAATTTAAAAAAATTCCTGGGGTAAAGAACAACTTTCCCATACTTACCATTGGTAAATGAATCCATTTTTACGATCAAAGTTAGTCCCTGTTTTTTTTTTTCTAAAAAGCATGTTTTTTGTTTTTTAATGACTTCTTAAGAGATCATTACAGAGCATAGCCATCTATGGAGGTCGTGTGATCTAATGACAAGTACAGATTTCAGAATAGTTGCAAAAGCTGTCGTTTTTGTGGTAAAATAAAATTTATTATATTTCCATGAGATGTTTACAATGTATTTATTGTAAAATATAAATCTCACACAAAGAGTTGTTATCCCTTTAAGGGGAATTCCTTTCCATTTCAAATTATGGATCTAGAACTTGTACAGAAAGCCCACTCTCTGACCAACGGTTAAGCTAGCAATATTTTCCAAAAATTCTTAATGAAACAGTGTAATTTTGTATTCAGTTTGAGGAGCCCTTGATACCAGAGCACATCAAAGGATACTAGAATAAGTGTAGGCGGAATTTCAAATGTTTTAGGTTAATTTTTTCTGTTAAATAAGGAAAACCATCTGCACATCCTCATCATCTTCCTCCTTTCTGGCTACTGCATGAGCAGGCTATTCAACTTTTAAAAATCTTTCAGTGCTGTTTTGGGCTTTGTTTTCCTAATGGTTGTTTATTGTAAGTACTTGACACTTAATTACCTATTCAGAACCTTATTTCATTAGAACGATTTTATTTCACAGTCAGGTTAGGTTGTACTGTTTGCTGGACACGTGGGTCTTATTTGTGTTGTGTAAGAAACCGGTAGTGGTAATTTGTATGCGTTGTTGTATTCTCCCTTGTTATGAACCTTAAACGCATAACCCCAGTTATGAAGCAGTTACGTTACCAGCATTACATTTTACAGAATGTATTATAATGCAGATCACGTAAAGAAATTATTTACACACAATGTCTCTTGCAAATATATGTCACACAAGAGAATGTTATATAATCAAATGTGGTAATGTACGACTGCGATGAAGCATTGTGTTTAATTTCTACTGAGATTTTTGAAACATGGTTATAGTAGAATGATACTTCTGGGGAGTATAAACCTCATCCGTCCCTTAAAGGTTTTGAGGCATGTTGTCAGTGTGAAGTGGGTCAACTGCGCTGGAGCATCTACTGCGCTTGCGTGCAGGTGCCACCACAAAAATACAGGAAATACATGGAATGAAAATTGTTTCAGGATATAAAAGGGGTTTGAACTTGAATTTTGAAGTGTGTATCCCAGCATATTTTGGAGGAATTATCAATCAGTTCACAGTATTTCCGATGGCAGTCAGCTACCAGACTAGAAAACGAGATGAACAGGAGATGCGGCGTCGATTGGAAGAAGAGTTCAGCTCCTTGGATAACGCTGAAGCTTTAAACAAATGTGTAACCATTATCGACAATGGGTAGGTGTACTCCAGTAATAAATCAATTCACCATCCGTCATTTGTTAATCTTTTTTCTTTAATCAAGTATTCCAACTCCTTAACTTTTCAGAGTTGAAGAAGGTAAGAAACGCGGCTTAATAGACTTTGATAACGTCCGTGAAAACATCCTGAACCTATCAGAACTTTCTTCACCAGTCCGAATTATGGATTTTGGGGGAGGTACAGGAACTCCAATGTCAGCCATTTGTAAAAGGCTTAGAGACCTCAACAAGAATGCCATCGTCAGCGTGGAAGAACCTCATAAAGAGTCCCTGCAGAAATACAAGAAATGCATTGAGAAATTGGAGAATGCTACTTTGGATGTGGCCTACCTGGACGATTCCAGGATTATATCGGGAAGTCTGTGGAAGATCTGAAGTCCGTTGGAGCGTATCCTCATCAACTATAAGATAGGGTGCTGTCCATACATTCTATGTACCATGTTTCAGATTGGGTGGATGATTCTTGTGATCCTCATGAAGACATCAAGCAAGCTGTCTTTGCCATGTATACCATCCTCAAGCCCAGGGGGTGTTGGTTATAGAGTTAGATGGTGGGGAAAACGACTTTATTTGGAAAACCGCTCTGCGTTGTTTTGAGATTCTTTTTCCTAAAGAAGTCGTGAATCTCAGGAAGATAGAGGGGGCTAGGCGATCTTTGTTATATCAAGGAAAAATTGCAGATATCCTGAACAAATCATTCCCAACCTTTACGGCTTCTGTACAGCACCTGGAGGCGAGCTGTGGTTTTGTGCTACCATCTCTGGCAGAGGTCGGAGTCTATGTCTTCACCATGTACTTCACAGGATTTACAGGAGACACGCCCAAGTTTGACCATCGTCATATATCATTTTTCATCGACTTCGTCCAGAGAGAGGGCAGCAAGCACGGCCTTTCCCAAGAAGAGGACGGAATGTGGCGATCAACAAATACTACTAATTTGATCACTATAAAGAAAGTTAAAAAAGTCTAGGCTTAAATTGTCATACTACCTTCTTTGGCAGAGGTCGTAGCCTATGTCTCAATTATCTACTGTGACGGTTGGCCAGGAGACTCCTTCAAGTTTGACCATCGTATGTTGTCATTTTGCATTGACTTCGTCACCAGTTAATAACATTATGGATGCATGTATATTTAGACCGTCAGGAGACTTATTTCATGATGTAGTAAGGGCCCTTACACATTAGACCTACAGGGGACATGCAGGTGCAGCTTTCATACATTTTGATAGAACTTGCCAGTATTTGCTAATCGCAGTGGTGTCGGGAAGCTAATGCTATGGACTTATTTTGCGTTTGATACAATGTTGTTATCTGACGTTAATCCAACTTTCAAATCCAATGTTTATCGAACGTCTTATAAACATTATGGTTCAACGTTGTTTCAACGCTAAAACAACATAATTTGCCCGCAGGGTTTATTTATGGAATGGAAGAAAAAAAGCACATAAGAACACGTAAAGGTATATAACTGGCTAATTTTGTGTTATGGAAGTCCTTTCGGGTCATTTTATTACAAATTGAGGCGCCGAATCCTTTCTAGGGTAGGGTGCTTTGAGGGACATGGAGGATAAAACATAATATAAATGCTTCGCTGTATAAATTACAATGCAGATCACGTACCATTAAATGTTTGAGGCACGTAATCCATGTAAATGTGTATTAAACAAAGTAGAATGATGGAACAAGAGAGATTTATAGGCATTCAAAATTGGCCCGGGGGACCTCAGAAAAGTCTTTTTAAGCGGTCATCTGATATTGCTTTTTTGCTAAAGCACTTCACTTGTCGGACTCAGCTTGTATTCACTGGCAGAAAATTCCAAACTTCGTCTTGAAAATTTCAAAACATCTTTTGAAATTTTGTAAGACGAATCATTTCCGATGGCAGGCAGCTACCAGAGAAAAGAACGATATGAACAGGAGATGCGGCGTAAATTGGAAGGAGATTTCAGCTCCTTAACTGTCTCTGAGGCTTATCGCAGATGTTTAAATATCCTTGAGAAAGGGTGAGTCCACATGATAACATCAGTTCATCTACAATATAGCGCTGATAATTAAATCAATTCACCTATTAATATAACAGTCCATTCACTTATAAAATTATTTTCTTTGGTTATCATTTTATCTTTTTTATTAAACTAGCCATTCAACTTATTAATCCTTATTCATTTCAGAGTGGAAGAGGGCATGAAAAGAGGTTCCCCCAACTTTGAAACTATTCGTATGAACAGGATGAATTTAAAAGAACTTTCTCCACCAGTCCAAATTATGGATTTTGGGGGAGGAACAGGAACCCCCATGTCAGCCATTTGTGAAAAGCTTCACGCTCTCAACAAAGATGCCATCGTCAGCGTGGAAGAACCTCATAAAGAGTCCTTGCAGAAATACAAGAAATGCATTGAGGACTTGGATAATGCTACTCTGAATGTGGCCTACTCTGGACGGTTCCAGGATTACTTCGGAAAGTCTGTGGAAGAGCTGAGGTCCATTGGAGTCAAAGGCCATCGTAGCCGATACCATGAAGCTCATTGGTAATTCGGGGTACGGTAAAACAGTAACCAATAAAGAAAAACACCGTGATGTGGAATATTGCGGTGAAGCTAAGGCCTCTCGTAAAGTGAACAACCCCCGCTTCCGGCGCTTAGATCAAATCACTGACGACACGTATGAGATCGAACTTAACAAAAAAGTAATCAAATACGATTTACCCATTCAAATCGGGGTCATGGTGTATCAGTATGCCAAGCTGCGCATGTTGGAATTTTATTATGATTTCATGCTTAAGTACGTGGATCCGTCCGACTTCCAATATTGTGAAATGGACACAGATTCCGCCTACATTGCTTTTTCGGCAGATAGCTTGGAAGCCGTGATAAAACCGGATATGCGTAAGCAGTACGAAGCTGAAAAACATATTTGGTTTCCTCGCACTGATACACCAGAAAACGAGGCCTATGATAAAAGAACGCCGGGGTTATTTAAAGCCGAGTGGATTGGCGACGGTATCGTTGGCCTTTGTAGTAAGACATATTATTGTTTTGGGGGAGAAACAAAGCCGAAATTTAGCTGTAAAGGTGTTAATAGAAACAACAATTACATAGATGAAACTTAGTATTTAGATGTACTGCTGAATAGAAAGAGTGGAAATGGTGAGAATAGAGGCATAAGGTTGTTAAAAAATAGCATGTATTCATATGTACAGCAAAAAGATGCATGCAGTTATTATTATTGTAAACGTAAAGTTTTAGAAGACGGTGTGTCCACTGCACCTTTAGACGTTTAAGTGTACATTTTTTCACTTGACAAGGAAAAACTTATTTTTGGCTGTTCATTTAACAGAATTTTAAGGAAGAACATATTTCTGTTGCACATTATTCGAAGACAACCTTTAGACATTTGATTGTACATTATTTACCCGTCACTACCTTGACAAACTTATTTTGCCTAGCTGTTAATCCAATATAATGTGGTGCAGCAGAAGTGTGTTTGGAAAGCAAGACGTAAAAGCTTATTACATTACTCTACCTGTGTAAATACCTACCTTGAAAAGAATTGTATAATATAAAGTCAATTCAAATACTAAACAGTAGTTAACGCATTCCATGTGATGTTCAATGAAACAGAGACAGAGTTTGTCATTTTTACCACCGTGTGCTTAGAGATTGAATACTAATAAAAGTACATTTTATCCATATGACATGTGTTTTCTTGAATTTATGGTTCTATAACATGACTAAGCAGACAAAAACTACACTGTTTTAACGCGATCTTGTGTAGAAAATCTCTTGTGACGCATTTTCATCGGTTCATTTTTTGATTTTCAAAGATGAACAGAAAAAAGTTGAACTTGAATCAGAAAAAAAAAAATCTGATGTTTCTTATACTAAAGGTAAAAATACTTCTGCATATTATGTTGGTGTTTCATTTTTACAAGGAAACACTAATTTTCACAGTCAAACAGGAAAAAATACCGCACTGTTTGACTTTTATTTAACAAAAAACGTCTACATTGGCGTTTCATTTTGATCGGGAGATTTTCTGGTATTCAAAGCGGAACAGAAAAAAAAATACTGCACTGGTTAACTTTAAACAGACGCAATAACTGTTGTTTCTTGTATTAAGGAGAAAAAATACTTCTTCATATGACACTATTCTTCAGATTAGACAATGTAAATCATAAATCAGCGCATAGATCTTATAAATAAGAATCATAGGTTAAATCTTTGTTTACTTTGTTTGCTTTCTTTATTATACTTTTAAAGCAGAATAATTTTAATGATGTATTTAAATTTTAACTTTAAATTTAACAAGGAAAACACTTATGTTCAAAGATGGACAGAAAAAATGCTGCATTGTTTAACTTTAAAGAACAAGTGATGATTAAAGATGGTCAGAAAAAAATACAGCAATGAGTAGCATTGCGTCGAGAAAATGCTGAGAAATTTTGACTTGAAAGAGAAAAATACTCATATTATTTTAAAAAAGGAAGAGAAGAGTACTCCAATGTTTAGCTTTGGATTGAAAAAATGTTGTGAAGTGATAGTTGTGGCTACAAAAGGCCTAAATCTAAACAGATTCTGTTTACACTGGCCGCCTGAATTACTGGTTTGCTTGTGTAAACCAAGGCGATCGTTTAGGAATAAAGGATTGGAGGGGTTTAGAGAAATCAAAAGTATTTGATGCGGCGTTTAAGTACAAATAGGTGACTACAGCAGTTGGTTCACGAGAAAAGAATAGAGCTTTACTATGATACTACCCAGCTTATGTTAAAACAGTGTCATTCATTTAATACTGGCCGCTTTACATTCAACTATATTGAAAAACAGTAAAAGGCGGATTCAATCGACTGTACTAAGTGTTTGCGAACCACACACTGTCACAATACTCTAAGTATTTGGCCTGCATACCTCTCTTTGTGAATATTACACTAGTCTCAGCTGACCATAAGCGGAACTTTGTTTGTTAACACTTTGTGAGACGCGTTCAACTTAGTCGCGTGCAATCTGTCTTTTTTGGATCAATAAAAATGCGTGTCTTTTTGTTCATCCAATTCAATGGAAAACTACAACAAACACCTATCCTTTCAAATCTTATGTATACACCTGCCTTTTCAACCAATATAAGCATCTTTTTCATAAATAGACAGAATAAATAATTAAAATAATTACTCTCATCTCATTTTTAATAGCTCTGCCACTTTACTATGGCATTTTTTAATAGCTCTGCCACTTCTTTAGTAACTGTCGCGTCCTTTTATTACTACTGTTATGGAAATGTCTTTCCTTCTGTGGAAACCACAGTGAAACATCAGATTTGAGGGGGTACATGGTAAACGTGCATATTTGATACTAAATATGGATATCTTGTCCGCTATTATTA